TTAGATTACCAAAAACTGAATCGAAATATTTCAGGTATCCAAGTGCTCGAACCAGATTTATATACTTAAATATATTAATATATTTTTTAAAATGTTCCAAAATACTTAGAAATATATAAAACAGTTAAATCCATATTTAAAAATAGCTAAACGATACTCCAAATACCAAAAATATTTAAAATATTTATTTATTTTTTTTCCAAATATTTATGATAAAGCAATTTTATGTTAAGTTTAAGTATTTTGGCATTCATTTTTCAAATTTATATGTTATATATTATTTTTTACTTTTAGATTTTGAAAATTTTAAAGTATATATGACTTTCAATCTTTTTTATAAAAAAAATAAATGGATTATCCGAAACTAAACCCAATCTGAACCTGCAAAAATTCGAACCAAACCGCAAAGATCTAAACCAAACAAAATCTAACCGAACCAAATGGTTTCCAAATGCCTATCTCTAATCAAATGTAAAAAAATTATGATAGCAAAATATATAATTAAATACAACATATTTTTAAAAATTTCACTCCGCGCATGGCGCGGGTTATCATCTAGTAAATATTAATCGATTGAAATAGTTGTGCAATGTTTCCTTAATTTATATAACATTTTAGACTAAAGTGTTTGCTCATCAACTTTTTATGCCGACCATTCGAGCCACAATAATTAATTCCAAAAAAAATTAGACGGTGTATTCAATTTCAATTTGAAAGGTAAACATTTTCTAGAAATATAACAAAGTATGTCATTGTTGAATTAGGTATGTATAAATATTAAAACGTGTAAAATGTGGATTGTTTACTTCATCACCAAGCTATTACAGACATTTGGTTATTTCAAATTCATTTTTTGTACATGGACCCAAAACAAGCAATGGTGCCCCACAAAATATTTCCTGCTTTTACAAAGTTGGCTCCGAAAATCAAAATTTCAAGTTTTTAACCCCACCATAGTGCGCAATATGACTCAAAAGCTGTTTATACGTATAATATACGATCATATACCATATCTACGTATATGATGATAGTATACCCTCTTTGTTTGCCCATAAATATCAAGCTCCAACAATGCAATTCTTCCCTTTTCCCCTTCTAATCTCTCTCATCTCTCTACTAAGAAAAAATAAGCAATTATGTTGTCCACTGTACCGGCCTTTTCCTTCCCGGAACCGGGTACAGTTAATCAATTTTCTGGTTTCCAAACCGGGTTCACTCCTTGGGAATGGGACAGCTTTGATCTCTTTTCCGTGAACCAATTGTCTCTTGAACCGGCCGTTCCCAGCCCTTGTTATGGTGAAACCGACTCTGGTCTCGTCAGAATTAATTCTGGTTTTGATGATACTAAAACCGGTTCTGATGAATCTTGTGTCGGTTTCACCAAAACCAAAACCGGTTTTGATGATGCCGTCAGTTCACAGGGCCTATGCACTCAAGCAGACGAACCGGACCCGGAAGAGCAGAATCATAACCGGAATAAATGGATTCAACCGGAGATGACCGACGAGAGGAAGAGGAAGAGGATGGAATCGAACCGGGAATCAGCGAGACGGTCAAGAATGCGTAAACAGAACCACATTGATAACTTAAGGAACCGAGTAAATCAGCTGGATCTGGAAAACCGTGAGCTAGGGAACCGGCTCCGGTTAGTTGTATACCACCTTCAACATTTGAACACGGACAATAACCGGCTCGTGACGGAACAAGAGATGCTCCGGTTAAGATTGTCGGAGATGAGGCGGATTCTGATTCTCAAACAACTCCAACAACAGCAACAATGGGAACTCAATAACAGGAGAATGATCATGTCTGAACAACAAACCCATCTTCGATCATCCATCATATGATTTAAGCAAATAAAAATGAAAATTTAGAACATAACATATCAAGGAAGAAAAAAATATTTCTTCGTCTCTCTATGTAAATGAAATGAAAGGTTAAGAAGAGAAAATGATAGTTTTCGAATTTATTTTCTCTTCCTTTCTATTTGCGACTCTGAGAGAAGAATGAAAAAAAAAACTTTTTCTACGCTCCACTCTTGTCGGAATATATATGTCGTGGCGCCGTATGATAAATATTAAATAACTCAAAGAAATTATCAAATTAATGCAATTATTCGTACTTAGTGGGAAGCTTTTGTTTTGTGCGCAATGACACGACACCAATGAGGCTCACGATATTAAAGTAAATTAACTTTGATTTTTCTTTATCAAAATAAAATAACTTTGATTAAGTTAAAGCACTAAAACACAAATATTGGATCTGTAAGCTCGGCGCAGAATAACTTTTCGTTCTGGGCTTGCAAGCCCAATAAAAGTTTAGTTCCTGAAGTCCATAAGAGCACATAAGCCCTAACCTTTGTTCTTTTAAGGCTTTGGCTTTGAATGGTCTCTTGCTGGAAAAGAAAGGCCTTGCTGGTTTCACTTGTATCTGACCAAAGGTTTTAACATTTTCTGATTGTAGAACAATTAGAATCAAGATTGTTATTATATTAGGTTATCATGAAACTAATCAAGATTAAGAAAACGAAAACAAAGAAAAAAAAAATAGAGTTTTCGGAAGAACAACAACAACAAGAGCAAAGAACCAAGAAACAAACGAAAAAAAAAAAAAAAGACAAAGATTGCTTATGACTAGCTTCAGGTTGTGTAATGGAAGTAGTCAACGTTGTTCTTTCTGTTGTTGTCTGCAATGGGGCTGCTTACAGAGCTGCTGTTAGAGAGTGAGCAAAACGTTGACTTTTGCAAAACCCCCGTAGGAGAAGATCCCAACGTTGGACTACTCGTTGTGCTGTTAAGTACTTCTCCTAAAGGACCTCCCAAAGAGTTTCCCCACGAGATTGGTATCCAACTATTCACCTTTCTCACAGACTCCAGCGTCTCCAGCTGGCTTTGGATAGGAAGGTCAAGCTCACACGATAGCCTGAGTGGCGAGAGGGCGATTTTGTCTTGAGCGGTGGAGGAAGGAGATGAGGATGATGATGCTACTGGAATTGACATTGAAAGCTGCGTCCAATCTGATTTCAGCTCTTCAGGCCAAGAGTTGTGGTTGTGATTCCCCAAAGGCTTGTCTTGGTTGCTGCTAAAATCTAGGTATGGCGATGTGAGCAATGAGTGAGAGGATACGTGTCCAAACTCAAAAGGACTGTTGTTGTTGTTTCTATGTTTCTCATGAGCAACGAGAGGTTCCTTGGGTTGTAAGTTAACGGTGGATGGATATATCACGTTCTGGACTCTGTTTTGCAATAATATGTAAGCAAGCTATATGAACAACATGCAACATATTGAAAGATACTTGTAAACTTACCTGTTGTTAGGTATGTGAGATGCAATGGGGAGGATTTGGTTACGTGATGCAACCGCTTTGGAGGGAGCAGGTGCGGCAGGGGTATGGCCAGGTTGGACTTCCACAGGCTTTCTTGAACGGTGACGGCCTCTGTTGATGTGTCTATCACAGTATTTCTGATCAGGAACAGCGTCTTTCGAGCACCGCCATTTCTTTCCATCTGTTCTACGGCATCTCCCTGGCTCAGGATCCATGTTACCCCCTGCGAAACCTAGATGGTAAGCTCCCCATCCAACTGCACAAAGCCAAAGACAAAAAAACACTCTGTTAACTCATTAACCAATGTTTAAAAAGACTTTTCAACCAAAATGGCACTACAGAACACAGCACATATCTTGAAAGGACTTTGCACTTAAAAGTTTCATCAAAAACAGCTAGAGACACAGGCATTGGCTTTAAACTGATAATCATCAGTGACATTTTATCAACAACTAGAAAAGGAGTAAAGAGCTTACAAGAACTAGGAGGCAAAGATCGATAAGGGTAAAAGGACCTCTGGATAGAGATAAGCAAACTAGAAGGAACAGGGACATTGGCTGTGATGTACTTATAGATTAAAGCCTGTTGCTCTAGCTCAGCCCATTGTGTCAATGTAAAAGGTCCTTTCCCTTGCATGCTCATCATTCCACCAAAACCATATCCTCCTGCCACCATTCCACCCAAATGTGATTAAAAGAAAAGAAAAAAATTAACAGTTTTGCATAAAACCCATTTCACCAAATCCAGTCTACACCTAAACCCATGTTTTTGTTTCCCAAAAAAAAAAAAAATAATAATAATAATAATACCTCCTGAGCTTCTACAATAAGGAGGTGGAAGCTGGTGAAGAAACGGCGAGAGAGAGTTCTTGTTATTATCCAAACCGACATATTTACTGAAATCAAAAGCTTCTGGTTTATCTGAGAAACTAAGCATGTGTTCTTGCGAGGAGAGAAGAGAAGCAGATCTCGTAAGAGGAATGCCTTGATGCAACGACATTGGTCTGCTATAAGCAGTTGCGTAAGAGGAAGGTAAGTGTCTGTCTTGTGTTGTTTTAGCTAGCTTCGAGCTTTGCTGCAAGCAATCTTCACCGTCGAATCCGGATCTGTCTCGTTTAGATCCTACAAGCTCTTTAAGACCCGGTGACCCGTTAACATTGTTACCAGTAACCGTCCCAAGAATGTGCGTCCCAATATCCATAAGAAAAAAAAAGTGTAAGAGAAGTAATAAAAAAATTAAAGATAAGCTAGATAATGACTTGAGAGAGAGTAGCCATGGGAGGAAGACAGCTTGAGCTTAGAGATGAGTGACAGGGAGAAGAACGAGGAGGAAGTGTAAACTTTTGAGCTTTGAGATCTTTATGTGAAAGATATATTATTATTTTTTTAATGGAAAAAAAAAAAGAAAACTAAAAGATAATTGGTTGGGAGAGATGAAGCTTTGGGAGGAGACAAGAATGGTGTACCTAAAAACACATTCCGGAACTCGGACATGTTACTACATATTTATCCCATGCTTTTCATTATTAACTTTGCTTTATAAAGTATTCTTCTTCTTTGTTTAGTTCTTTTGCTTTTAAGGTGCAACCAAATTTAACTTACAATTTTCTCCTTTGAGAGTATTATTACAAGTATCGACGATGGTTAAATATTTGATATTCGAATTAGAGTCTTGAGTTTTATAAGAAATGGTCCCAAGTCTCATCATTTAAGTATGGTCGTAGTTTCTCTATTTTAGAACGCAAGATGTTCAACAATGTAGGCTATTTGAAGTATTGGGACATTTTCCCAATTTGTATGCGATTTATTTTTAAGGTTTTTATTTTGGTTTTTACTTTTTTTTCTTCTTGTGATCTATATGCATGCTAGCTGTCACGTAGTTGAAAAGGCTGTTGTAGCCTGTAACCTGTGAAGTTATTAGATAGTTTTGGTAATATTCGTTAAGAAAGTTATTTATGATTTATAAATTAAAGCAACACATTCCGTCAAAAAAAAGCAACACATGTGCTTATAATTAATATATTAGCTATAATTTAAATAGTTGCAATTCTTAACTGTAGATTTGTGATTGAGCTTCACTAGAATTTGCAGAAGGAAACAAAGGGTATACTTTAAGTGAGATTTACAATATATATGAACAATGTGTATCTAATATATACAATTTAAGTGAGATTTTTCAATCTGTGAAAACAAATAATAGAATTGTCCTATTCAGGTAATAAATAATAGAATTGAGTGGAGTACCAAATATTTACCAAGAATCACGTGGTTCCAATGATATTTTTGGACCATCTTTGTCTTCTCCTTGATGATTTTGGTTATATGGAATGGGCCACTTTATTCTTGATACAATGTATTGCTGTGTCTGATGACTACTACATGTTCGGACACATAGGTGTTCGAACTATCCCGCTTTTGGTTTTGGAATGATAATTCTTAAGCATTTCTTTATCAAAATGTTTGCTTGTATCATAAAACTGTTCTAAAGTTACAAAAAATTAGACAAATTGGGCTAACAGATAAATGGTTTGAATATAGAGAGCTGGACAGAAAAAAATAGTGCTAACAGCTTTCATAGTGTTATAATGAAAGCTGAATATTTTTAGTTGCACGTTACGAATTATCGAAGTTTACGTATAGCTACAATAATTTATGTACTACTTTATCAATATATAGTTATGAAACGTTGTGCCCAAGCTCGAAGAAGCAATTTGAACAGCATACCTCTTTGATTTACATCTCATGAGATAATATAGATAGTTAACTTGTATACAAGTGCTGTCTACGTACTATAACAATACAAATGGTTTAGAATTTTTTTTTTTTTGAATTAACTTGCTTGAATATATTATAAGAGTTGTGTAAAGTTGCAACTTTGTTTGAACTCTGGTTTAACAAATGTACAAGTAAGAAAGACAAACTCTGCACACAAAAATAAAGAAGCACAAGACTATTGGCGAATTCGGCTGTAACAACTAACAAGACTTTGCATAAGTAACCCACGTCATCTCATCGACAATGATATCGGATTTCACCATAACTCGAGACTACGAATGATTATCTTGAGAGAATGTCAAAAGAAATAAAAATTATGATCTTGGAAATACAAAAACTTATGTTTCTTAGTTTTGCTTAAAATATACTAAGAGCATGATTATTGCAGGTCCCTTAAAATGGGTTTCTTAACGTACAGTCCCTTAGCTTTTAACTGAAAACGCTAAGGGACGTCCCTTATATAAGGGATTTAAGGGACGTCCCTTAGCGTTTTCAGTTAAAAGCTAAGGGACCGTACGTTAAGGGACCCAACTTAAGGGACCTGCAATAAACATGGTCTAACACCAATAGTTTGAAAGTATTATGGTAGGAACTTTTGTGAACATTCGCATCTAAAGTTTGCAATTTCTTTTAAGTTCGAGATATTTGTATCATTTCGGAAATTAAAAGAAAATGCATATTAGAAGATTGACGTACCTTATGGAGAAAGTTGAATTTAATAATGGAAAGAGGTAGAGTGTTACTACTACCAATACCATGCGACAAGAAACGTATATGTTAGTTAAAGCTCTGCTTGAATGTTCAAAAAGGAAAACTCACAAAAAAAAGTCACGAGCGGTGCGCATGCATCAATGATGTAAATAATCATCACTTCAACACACATACGATTGCAAATTAACATATTATCGAGTTTACATTAAGCATAAAATTCTGTGACATCATTATTTGTAATATTCCATTTTCATACTAATCATATGCATATCGTGACATCATTATTGGAGTTATATTTCATTTGTAAGATTAACGATAAAAGTGCAATTCGAAGTTTCTAATATCAAACTATTAGGGTCTCTCCAATGGGACGGTAAAAGGTCAAATATGCCGTCTTTCCTTCTCCAATGTAACGCCATTCTCAACGACAAAATTAAAATTTTGGTGTTTTGTGAACAGTGTTACACCATATTTGGTGTAACACTGTTCACAAAACACCAAAACTTAAAATAATTTTTTATTCATGTATTTAGATTAAAAATATATATTTAAATGATTATCTATCAGTTAACTATATTTTAAACATGTTTAATAAATAAATTACTTAAGAATATAAATAAATACCATCAACTAAAATAATAAAAGATTAAAAACATAAAATTACATAATTAAAATTAAACATACATAAAATTAGATAATTAAAATTAAAAACACATAAAATTACATAATTAAAATGAAACACACATAAAATTACCAATTAAAACAAACACACAAAAATTACATAATTAAAAAAAAATAGACATAAAACACAAAAAATATAAATTTTAATAATAATCTAATAAATTGTAATCTTATATCTTTCTTAATTAATTACTTAATTATTATTATTTACCAAAACTAAATAAATTATTCCAATTAATTTCTCAACCTTTCAAATTATTGATTAATATTTAATTTTTTTATCAATTGGAATTTTATATTTTATTTATTAATTAATCAGTTTTATAAATAATAATTAATTATTAAAACTATTAAAAATAAACAGCAAACTAAATTTAATATTATAATAATAGAGAATATTTTTTTGGTGTGGAATTTGGTGTTTGTGGTTGGAGATGAAAAAAAAAGTGAAACACCAAAACACCAAATTTAGTGTTTTTTTCACACCAAATTTGGTGTGTAGGTTGGAGATGCCCTTAGGGTCATGGGAGAAGTTAGACAATTAAAGTGGTGGCACTATCAATAATAAAACAGAAAAGGTAGAGAAGAAGGAAAGGAACCCGGATTGATGTGTGGGTGCATATAAATCCATCTGATCCAACAGATTCTTTATGTTTTCTAACGAAATTCAAAACTATATACATTATTATGGGTGCATAGGCCCCCACAGTGTATGCTTCTCCCCTGATTAGGGTTGTATAATAGTTTTAGGATTCCGTATTCTAAGTTACAGCAAACTAAAGACTTTACTGTTTTGTAACATCAGTAGTTTTAGAAAAAGAAGTTAGCTACTAGTCTACAATGGTTTTACATTAGTTTTTTGCGGGCTACCTTTTGTACGTTTCTTAGTCTCCTCTTTCGATTAGGTCTCGACCTATATTCTCTGCTTCCCAAAAAAAGATAATAAACAAAACAAAAGATGACAAAGCCAGTTCTTTATGCAACCAAGAAATTTTGGGGGAATGGATGCAGACTTTTTAATCATAAAAAAACCTTAACTGTTGCACTTCTTGATAATCTACAAAGCAACAGATGTTTCAAATAACGACTCGAACTTGTCTTTTATACTATTTCCATTTTTAATACTATGAAACAGATCCTAATTTAACACATATATACTGATATTTGTACGAATTTTACATTGTTCAAGTATGTACTTATGGATATGCTTCCTTTTTAATGACCAGTAATGGACTGATTATGTCATTGCGCATATTAAGATCGATCTTCAAAATTTATTAAACTGCAGTTAATATTGAGTCTTTATTACTGTAATACTCCCTCTGTTTCTTAATAAATATCACTCTTAACTTTTTTTACAGAGATTAAAAAATTTGTACAATATACTAATATATTTTTATTTAATGAATCAAATTTTTTTGATTATTTAAACAAGTAAAGATTAAATTTAATGTACATCGTTACATTAAGATTGTAAAACACATTTTCTGAAACAAAATGAAAAATCTAAAATGACATTTATTTTAAAACATAAAGAATATAAATTTATTATATCATGATTAATTACAATGTTCTAAAAATGACTAGACAGTAGTTAGATGGTTTATAGAAAATTATTATTTAGATGGATGTCTATACTAAATTTTTGAACATTTAGACCAATTGTTTCAAAAATCATTTGAACATTGTTTATTTCATATCCTATTTACCAATTCACCTACACTGTTTTTTAGAATATTGGTTTGATATGTTTAATAGTAATACCTTGTATTGTGATTATGCGATGCAACCAATAAAATACTCAACAACGTATTTACTTTTAGTTAAATGAAACTGTGATTCGAATATTATAAATCCAGATAAATCTAAAAAAAATTGGCATTTATTTTATACTGTTATCAATTGAATTTTGTCAATAAATCAAACCCCTTGATTTGACAAACTTAGATCCACATACTACTAAATATGTTTTTTTTTTTTTTTGTGCACTACTACTAAATATGTTTAAATTACAAACAGCATTATTCAATATTTATCTCATCGCATTCATATCAGTTAATATTTCATTTCGTACCGTTTCAAACTTGTACAGTATTACCTCATTTCCACACGATACTTATAAGTTATACCACTAACTAGACATCTTAAAATTAAATGGAGTATTTGTATCCTAGTTCTTAACTAAAGTGTTTTGTGTTCAGTGACAATAATAATATTGACTCTCCTGTTTGTTTTAACAACTGAATCTTACTCCCTCTCTTTCAATATATTACATGTTTCAATATAATATATGTTTAAAAGATATATATTTTAGATTTTAAATGTTAAAA